AGCAGCGGCTCTGGTGGATCTGCCGCCGGATGAAGTTCACCAGTTTGACCTGCTGGTAGAACCTGAGATCTGAGGGGAGATGTACCACAGTCTGTGTTTTAATCTGTAGTTTTCTACCCAGTGACAAACTACTGCTGCATCTTCAGCACGTCACAGCAGCTTCCCTGTGAGGCTGTGATGTTCACTGCACACCGGGAAACTGGCAAGGCAGCTTTATTCATGCAGCAAATTTCACACACCGAGGTAACTCAGTGAGTCCCACAGCCAAGAGAAAGTTAAAAAACAACAACTGAACTGTTCACTGGAAGAAAAGGGGAGAGGACTCACTCCTTACTACTGGACTGTGTAGTAACGCCAGTCTCTCAGTCCTACAGGGTGGATATGAATATGTACACAGTGGTATTCAACTTTCTTACTCCTGGCAAACTCAGCTTTGTTTTCAGGACACCAACGGTGATGGTATGTGATGCAGCCTTCAGTGTTTGCTGTGTGCGTTTACTCACCGAGTTCTGTCCTCAGCTGATGGAGGTCGAAGCCATGAGCATCCTGAAACAACAAGATACACCAAGATGAAAACAGAGAAGCCTGCAGTCACACATGCTTCACCAGGATGCTGCAGAGCCAAAAGCACACCAGGAAACAAATTTGCTGGCATGAAGAAATACCGAGAGGCCACTGACAAAAACAGCACTGAGTCTACAGCTGCGTTAGTGGCTCTGTGAGGTTGTAATTAGGCACAGCAGCTGCACGTGCTCAGAACATGATACAGTATGCTCACTATCTTAGCTCAGTGTTAGCATTAAACAGTGAAGACGTCCTGAGCTGATGCTAAAGATCAGCATCAGGGCTGATCCAGGCATGTTTCAACAGCTAAAACACACACTACTGTGTTCACGTGGATGTCTCTGTGTCTTGTCCAGTGCTGCAAAACTGCTCTCCTTTGGTTCCCTGCAGTTTACAGCATCAGGAGGAGAACGTCTGCATTGCGGAGCTACTTTTAGGCTGAAAACAATGGGACACCGTGCAACATGCTGCCATTACACGAGGTAGAACTATCACAGCCATGCTCAACATAACCAGTAGGAGAAGCTGCCTTCAGGCAAAACATCCAGCAGAATGCAGAGACTTCAGCAATGGCAGGAGTTTCCCTGGAACACAGACGAGGCCAAAGCTGGACTGTGTCAGACTCAAGGTGAAACATCTGAACATTTATCTAGTTCTCATTCTTACTGGTGGTCCCCAGAGGATGAACCCTATCCCCTGGCTGTTTAATCTAGCACCACCAACAGGTCAACGTGTCTTCAATAATGAACTCCTGTCAGCTCGTGTATAGTGCTGAGATTAATGCCAAAAGACATGCTAACCTGGTCAAATCACACTTTAAATTGTACCCTTCGTCTTCTCCTTGGCAGAACCCCTGCTTATTACTCGCTGCTTGAAATGTCTGTGAAGTACGAATGTAATGAAAGTACCTTCTCTACTCCACCTCAGCTACTACAACATCAAAGCAGAGAAACCCACATCCCAGACTGGATGTTGATTCTGTTTTTGTTGCTCTACCTTCATGTGTGTGTAGATGTGCTCCATCATCTCAGACTGATGATCACAGAACAGACACACAGCAGAGACCGGGTGAGCCCGCCAGTCCGACCAATCACTGTGGACAACACAGAGACGTCAGACAGCTGGGACATGTACGACAAACCAAGGTCTCTGTGAGAGCATTACCTCGATGTGAGATGTGTCAAAAACAAAAAGCTGGGTCACTGAGAGCTCCTCTTCCTCAGTGGAAAACAACAGCACTGGGGCAATGATGTGTACGTACAGAGTCTGTGAAAGCTGAGTGTTTTGTGTTGGTGGTTTCTGCTGGATGTACTTACTCATCCTCCTCGTCGACCAGCTCTCGGTCGTCTTCGCTCTGCACCTCCTCCCAGGTCTTCCCCAGCTCCTGACAGGAGGATGAACAGAGACGTGAAGATCAGCCACAGTACAAAGATGAATCCTCCTGATACATCTCATTTATATAAGTGAAGGTGCCAAATGTATTCTGGCTGTAGCTTCTGGCATGTGAGCATTTGCAGTTTTACATCACTGTGAACTGTTTGGTCAAATACATCAAGGCAATGCGTTCTGCAAACTAATTGACCTGAGAAACAAAGATATTAAAAGTAACTGTTATGTAAAGCATGTGCCCTGTCCTCTGCTCTGATGTGCACTGAAGGGTCTTACCAGGTAGTTGATGACATAGAAGCGGTCGTATTCGTGGTTGCTGGCATTAATGCGGCGGTGAGCTTTTTTCCTCATGTGATCCTTCAGCGTGGTTTTGTCTCGGAAGGTCTTCTCACAGTACAAACACTGCAGGCTGAAGAGAAAGCACGTCGGCTGAAGGTCATCACACTTCACACACAAACCATGGATACAAGTGCAACAATGCACACACACACACACACACAATGCTGTGATGATACAGTGCTGTAAATGCAGAAGAAATCTAACATGAATAATAGTATGTATGTGTATGTGTGTGTGTACACACACACACACACACACTGTAGATGTAAACACAGGGTTGGTTTGTGTGTGCATGCTCAGGATTTAATTTCAGATGAGCTCCGGTGTATTCGTGCACACACACACACCTGTTTTCGCCACTAGCACATCATAGCACTGTGTCTAAGTTCAGGATTTGCTGAAGGCTGCTGCAGCCACCAGCCTCTCACACGGTTTGTGTGAACCGCCTTTGTCTGCCCTGCACAACAACATGAGCGTGATGCATTGATCAGTTAACTGGGAAAGTGCAGCAGGCGGAATCAGAGGCTGGCACACATGCACACAGTTTTAAGCTCATTGTGATCTATGAAGGGAAACGTGTGAGCAGAAGTTGATGTATGCACCAAATTGAACTGTATGTAAACTTTGGTAAGAACCCTATTCCATGTCTAGGGCGGAGCATTTGGGGAATGTAGGATTATTGTCCAGCATCCGGCCTTCTCAGGGGCCCAGAGCAGTTTGTTCATTATATCACAGTCTGAAGTTTAGCTGTGACACGCTGTCACCTTTGTGTCTTACTTGTCCAGTTTGCTCTGCAGAGTGTCAAGGAACTCGTTGCAGTACACGATGTTGTCTGGCAGTCCGATGCTGAAGGAGTGTTCTCTGGCCATGTGGTTCAGCAAAGATGACCTGATACATGATGGGGGAACGATTTATAAAAAGAAATATTAAACTAAATATAATACTCTGTGTTTTTCAAGATGTTCAGTGGCTTAAGGGCTAGAGGCACAAAGTCCTGAGAGATGAACTAACACTGTTGGTTTGGGTCTTTTCACTGGAGGTGGTGACAGAAAGAGAAAAATACAGGCTAAACCTTTTACAGCTGCAGGTGCGGACAATAAAAGAAATTATTTATTTGGACATGGTTTATATAAATAGGGACCTGGTGACATTCTTCTGCTAACGTTTGTCCTGTATTGTACAGTTTGACAGTGAGTAGTTGTGCTGCTGTCAAGTACATTCCTTCTTTTCTGACTGAGATGAAAGCTTGAAATATGACACATTTAACTGAAGCCAAAGACCTGCGTTAGTGAAGAGTTCAGTTCTGAAAGACCTCACATTTTTCTTACCAATGGTCTTTCTAACATTTAGGAAGTTTATTTAAGTTGAACCAGCAGATGAAGTCTAAGTGACACCATGTGTACAACACCTGTTTCCAGTGAACTCCTCGCTGCAGAACATGCAGAGACGATGGAAGGTGCTGTCGTCCCGCTCCCTCTGCTGCTGCTCCAGCACCTCCTCCTGTGGAAGAGCAGAACAGTCAGAGAAACACCCCAGAAGAAAATGAGCAGCACCTCCTCCTGGCATAATGTGGTAAGAATAATGTCTTAATTCAACTAGACAAACTGAAATCTGATTTTCAAATTACTTGAGGGGCCCCCAAAAGCATATCTGTGAGTACAGGGATATCTGTGGCAGAAATCTGTTTTAGTTTTGTGGCACAGAAACTGGAAAAGTGGATAGTGAGGCTGGAGTTCTAGATAGGAGTGTGGCCTCTCACCAGTCGTGTCTGCTGGAGCTTCTCTCTGAGGAGCCGGTCCTCTGGAAGGATGTCGCACAGCAGGAAGTAGTCCTCTTGTTTCTCTGGAAGAATGACAGCTGGTTACACAGGGACGAGCTTTCACGGAACCATGTCCATAGTCAGGGTTTAGGGCCTTTTGTTTAGAACATAGATTCACAATTTTAGCATATGCTGATCTCAGAGATCAAGCCATGCCAGTCTAAGTGCACACAACTGCTACAGCGAAACTGTAAATTGCTCATTCAATCAGTTATGGTTCGTTCCTCACATTACCTGGATAACTGTGGCAATTCTGGAGCTAACACGTGCCAACAGGCGTTGACCTCAGACAAAACCAATATGGCCTGCGCACTCACAGCATTTTTTACAAATGTTGGTCCCCAGAGTTAGAAGAGAATTAGGCACAAAGCTTTTAGATCTGCTGCCTCTTCTTAAAGGTTGTACTTGTTTATTCATCATAACTGTACTGACCTTGTGTTTGTATTACAGACCAACTGGATGTATGTTCATGTTAGCATGTGACAGTTTTATTGGCCTGTTTTATTGTTTGTGTTTACTGTTGTAACAATGTCTTTGCTGCCCTCTTGGCCAGGTCACTCGTGAAAAAGCTGTGTGAATCTCAATGAGGCTTTTACCTGGTTACAATAAAGGACAAATCAATAAAATAAATGTGGTATGTTTGAGCAGAAAAATCTACAGTCATTATATATATCAACTAAGAGGCTAAGCTACTGCACATGATGTAGAGACAACCACAAGTACAGGTTCTTGCAGTTTAATTCAGCTTCTGTCATGAGTTTCATCATGCACCCAAAGTTTTTAGTCATGTAACTCATCCGGAACAAACACTGGCCTGCTGCTGGTCAGCCATGACAAACTCCCACTGAGTCACTACTGTTCAACCCACAGAGCTTTAGTTCGCTTCCTAAGGTGATGTCTCAAAGTCCCCACAGATGCCACATGGTGCAGCCATAAGAACATGACTATTTCACTGGGTGTAAACATTCCAGAGAAAAGCGGCAACAAGACGACACAGAACACAGTGACTTCAGAAAGTACTCCCAGCCCTCCACTTTATGCTCATTTTACTGTGTTGCAGATTTCATTTTAAATGGATAAGAAAAATACTAAATAATTTCTGAAGCCACTGTAAATAAAACACTGTCCTATAGATGGAATAAGATCATTTTACCAACATGAAAGTTAAACTTAAGAGAAAACAAAAGGGGCAAAATGTAAAGAGGGTAAATTTATCTTCATTGTAAATAGCTGTGCTACAGTTTTATTCCAAGTCATTCTTCTGGCTGTTTCTGTTTGATTACAATCTCTTACTACCACCTGTAGCTCTACTCACCTACAGGGCCAGTGGAGTTTGTCTTGATAACGCTACAGAAATCTGCGACAGGCTGCTCCAGGAATCTGCCCTTCCAGTACAACATGTACCTGTCGGAGCAGGGTTAGGTGTTAGGATTAGGGTTCGACAAGATGCGGGATGTTACTCAACAGACTCGGAAACTGACGATGTACAGTACAGAGATATTCTGTCTGTGGCTTCCAAACGGAGTGAAATGAACAGGAGCTTGTGAGGACACACTGTTCAGGCCTGTGTCCACTCTGGTGAAAGCACATGCGAGTCTGACCACCATCAATGTGGTAGTCTATGTGCACAAATGACTACCACAGTGAATGGTCACATCCTAGTTAGTGTGGCTGGGGATCAATGCCGTGAATATTTCCTTCCATACCAATGTACTGTACAGTATTGTTAGGTATTTTTAGTCAGATAGAAATTGGATAGATACTTGATGTATTAGAAATGTTTAGTGGAGATAGGATGTCTAGTTAGACTGTTAAATGCTTAGTCATGCTTATGAGTTTCTACAGGGTACATCTGGTCAAGGATAACTAGAGAGAAGAGTTGATGACTGTCAGCAGACAGGGTGTTTAATATTATTATTATGACGTGTATAACTGTAGCCTTAGCCATAATATGTTCTTATGTTTAAGTCACGACATGTTACTAGAAGTCGTGTGAGAATGTTTTTAGCTACACACCACTTAACTAACAGACACACACACACACACATTGATTTGCTTCATGTTTTGACTACAGCTAGGGCCAGCTGCAAAGCTGGTAACAGAGACGTCTTGGTTGACGTTTCTGTGTAGTATGGGGCTAGCCCAACCGAGGGGATATAATGTATAGGCCTGGTAGGTTGAGGGTCTTTCATCTTACATCTGCCTGCGAGCAGTTTGGAGGTGCAAGATACCTGAGTGTGTAATGTTAATTTTACCTGTGTTCATGGAATAAATCAGCACTGTTTTGTAGTTACTTGGACTGCCTCGTCTCTCAGAGTCAGTATGGTAAAAAGTACCGGGTACAACAGTACAAACTAGAAATATGTGCAAACTCGTATCAAAGCTACGCTACACGGTCTTTACATGTGAAACTGTCTCAGTCTGCAAGTTCTGACCACAATAAATGTAGACAACACATGGCATGGTATAATTTCAGAAGAAGTCCATAAACAATACTTAAGCCTTAAAACTTGATAGACAACATGTTTATACTTTCAGTGCATTGACTTTAGATTATGTGTTGACAGTGTGCTCAGCTCGTACTTTGGGAGGTTTGCGATCAGTCTGATGTCGGCGATGACCAGTTTGTGCTCCAGCAGCAGGTGTTTCAGGAGGACATCTTTGTGCGACAGAGGGACGGACTCGGAGCAGAACAGACACAGCAGCAGCTCCGCGCTGGGACTCTGCAGACTGGGCACACTGGAGCAGTCCGCTGGCTGCTCAGGAAAACACAGCGGCTCCAGTATACTGTCCTGACCTAAGCGAAGGCGACAGCTTCGGGTTATCTACTACACCCAACTTCCTAATACTTCCAATATTTCGTGTTCATTATTAACAACTTTTAGGGGCAGTCACTGAAGAGCCAGCAATTTACAGAGCACATGCTAGCTGCTGTTTAGCTTAGCCGGCTAACTGCTAGCAGTTTAGCGTCATTACCAACTGAGAAGCTAAGCCTATTTCAGGTTCGCTGCTGTCCCACAGACTCGGCGTTTATGAACAACCAGCTCCCACTATACAACATCTTCCTTTAATTCAGTAACACGTTTAAAAGTTCAACTTACTATTGTTGGTCCCCTCGGAGGCGGCCATCTTCAGCATCACGTGGTCACAACAGCAGCTAACGGGCCAATCAGAAATGTTTCGTGCTGCCTTCAGGGTATCCTGTTAACGCAGACTCCTAATGGTGCGTTCAAATGTTTTAAATCGGTATCACAACTGATATTTAGGCTGACGCTTGTCATTGCCACAGAGCTGCTTTAACAAGACCGAAAGCAGTAAACATTTATAGCTAGTATATTGCTTCCTTTTTTCCCCTCATAGATAGCCTAGTACTAGCACTCCTTTCTGGACTGTAACATAAGACAGATCAAAAGTAGATTTTCACTCAAAGGGCCACTTAAAAAGACTAATTACAAATAGATGTTTTGTGAATGCATGTTTACATTTCAACTTTCTGCTGTCTACCTGTCTCATATATTGAGTCATTTCACTTATTTTCTGCCCATTGTCTTATTTTGCCTTTTCTTAGTTGTTGATAATGTTTTTATTGTTGATATTTTTGCTTGGACCAGAGGAAGAAAAGCAGCCACTATAATTAACAAATGAGGAACAAATATTACATAACAGTGCTTATTACACAGAAGGTGGCCTATAAACTTAAATACTGATATATTGATTTTTAAACTGATACTGATTAAGTTGTGTTAGAAAAGAAATCAAGGGCAGTGTTGAATAAGAGCAGAGCGAAATCATATGAATAATACTATAGATTATGACTTAAGGCCACAAGACCTAATAGTTATGTGGGACCACCTCAGCTGATATTTTTGATCTAAATAATGCAAATACTTAAATGTGCATTTAATTGTGTATGATGTGCACAATGACACATTGTTTTTTGGGGTTAAATTATAGAGAACAAAGTTTTTTCTTTTCTATTTTTATTGATTTCTGTACACCTTTATTTTGCATTTACTTATGTCCTTGTTTATTATTCTCCAGTGATTAAAACTTAAGTACATTTAATCATACTTCAGTACACACTGAACATACTTGTACTTTACACTTGTAAACATCAATTACATCAATTTGACAGCTATAGTTACCTTAATAATAAGGCGAGCTTTGGATATCTGCAGGCAGGATCGCTGTACGGCCTGCTGAGGTTAGTCAGTAGTTGCATTAGTTTTTAAACTGATAAGATTTTCTGTCCTTTTTGTTTCTACCTCTCCAAGTTTTCTCCTGTCTGTACGCATTCAGTGGATTCCCTCCTGAATCCATCAGATTTGTCGAGCTAGCGACCAGATGGCACTTTCCACTCTAAGCCATGCATTCATTTCCACTGATGACTAAGCATTATGCAGACAGCCAGCGGCTCGTTCAGACCCAAACCCCTAAAGCTACTACACTTTACAGAAACAGTAAAGGCTCATTGTGACAGAGTAGCTCTGTCGAAGTGGCTGACGAAGTGTATATAGGCTATATGGACATACAAGCCCAAATACACAGATTAAACGGAGTGCTCGTCACTTTTATATGCGCATAGAGAAATTAATTCACAACAGGGGTGGTTTAGTTACAAATGAGAGATCGACTGCAGCATTATCAGGAGGCAGCTGGAAAGAATCTGCAAGAGGCCCAAGCAAAGCAAAAGACTTGGTATGACCGGCAAGCATGGGGCAGAGATCTACAACCAGGGCAACAGGTGCTTTTGCTTCCATCATTCAGCTCTAAGTTGTTGGCTAAATGGCAAGGACCTTATACCATCACTCGATGGATGGGGCCTGTAACCTATGAGGTACATCATCCTGGTAAAAAGAAACATACAATGTTAACCTTTTGAAGGAATGGAAGGAGCACAGAGGACTAACTACCTGGGTCACTTGCCTGGCAGAAGCAGTAGAGGAGGAGGAGGAGGATCCAGGGGTTATTGAGACAGGGACATCCCTCCAGTACTCTCATCTTCCTCAAGAACAAGCTTCCCAATTACATCAAGTTTTCCAGGAAGTGCCCTCACTCTTTGCTGCCAGCCCAGGCTGGACTAATCTTATTGAACATGTGATCCACTTGAAAAACAACCAACCTATTCGCCAACGGCCTTATCGTGTTCCACAGCAGTTGATGAAACAGCTACGGAGAGAGGTGGAGAAAATGCTGGCATTAGGTGTTATTGAGCCATCAACCTCAGAATGGTGTAGCCCGTTGTCATTGTGGCCAAAAAAGATGGGTCTTTATGGATCTGTATTGACTTCCAAAAGCGCAATTCTATTTCTGAGATTGATGCCTACCCTATGCCCCGATTCGATGACCTGCTGGAGAGGATTGGGTCTGCAGTGTACATCACGACCCTTGACTTGTGCAAGGGATACTGGCAGGTGCCCCTGGAACATGCAAGTCGAACCTACACTGCTTTACGCACGCCTGCAGGATTGTTCCAGTTCACCGTGATGCCTTTTGGTTTGCACCCGCAACCTTCCAAAGGCTCATGGACAAGGTTCTACTGGGTTGTGAGGAGTTCAGTGCTGCCTACCTTGACGATGTGGTTATCTTCAGTCACACGTGGGAGGAGCATCTCCAGCACCTAGAGGAAGTCCTAGGGAAGATCCAGGGTGCTGGGTTGACCCTTAACCCGGCTAAATGTCAATGGGCCAGACAAGAGGCACGGTACCTTGGTTGCCAGCTGGGAGGAGGAGAGGTTCGACCACAGACAGAGAAGGTAGAAGCAATCCAGAACTGTCCTCGTCCTTGTACCAAGAAGGCTGTGTGGTCCTTTTTGGGGTTAGCCGGGTGGTACCGCAGATTTGTTCCTGAGTTTGCAACAATTGCTGCTCCACTAACTGCATTGACTGCCAAAAACCTGGTAACGTGGAATGAGGAATGTGAAGCTGCCTTTCAAACCTTGAAAGCCTGTCTGTGCTCCTCACCGGTGCTTTGGAGCCCTGACTTCAGCAAGCGTTTCTTGGTACAAGTGGATGCATCTGCAGTGGGCCTAGGAGCCGTTTTGGCACAGGGGGATCCAAGGGGAGAGCAACCTATCCTGTATCTTAATTGAAAAATTCTGCCCAGAGAAACCAGGTATTCGGTAATCGAGAAGGAAGCACGGACCATCAAATTAAAGGTGACCCAGGTTCTACTGTGAGGTAGTTGGTTTTGAGCCGTATAGAAGGCTGTACCTGTCTTGCTGATGACTGCAGTGCTAGTTGTTGCATGGTTTGTTTTTTTTGGAAAAATGTTTTAACCTTTTTGTAAATATCTGTTTCTATTTTTCACTTTGTGGATGAGCACAATAAATTACTGGTTTGCACTGCATTTGCGACTACACCATCTTTTTATCTGGTCCTCAAGAAGAACCACGTTACACTCATTATGTAACAATGTAGCCTACATTCCTCATAAGCCTGAAGCTGGAGACCAGGCACCCTGAAGTTATTCAGTGTCTTTGTTTTGTTTTCTGTCAATTAAAGTACCGAGTCTTTTTTTCTCTAGATCAATACGTAGCATTTTTCAAGTCTGATTTAAACTTAACTTAGAAATATTTTTTGCTCATTGACACCAAATGCCGTGAAATGACTCATCCTCATACCCCCGTTATACCAACATGGGAGGTGTTAGTCCTATTCACTATCTACAGACAGTGTCTGGTGAATAACAGATAAATGAGAATGCAAAAAGTAAGTGATGAAAACTCAAAAGGTACAGAATTTTAAACATAAAAAGTTTAAGCTGACTAATATTTTTTAATTGCTTAGGTATGAACAAACAAAAGTTATATACAATGGAAAACAAAGCATCATGTCTTAGAGAATGTTTTAGATATTACTGGTTTTTATTGGCATATGGTTGGGCGGCCGCTCACACATTTCAGTAATTGTTGGGAAAACCTTCTCACTCTGGCAGCTGACTGGTTGTACTTCAGTATCATCCTCTGCACCCAACCACATAACATCACATGGCGCAGGCTGGCATATCATCAAAAATATCCATGCTTGTTATTTTCTGTCTAATGTCCTACATGCTCACAGGGTCTTAATGCACATGAATTCTCCAGAAAAGAAGCGGTTTTTATCACATTTGTTCCTACAAACATCTGCTGTACCCACTGCTTCTTCAGTCAGTGTTGTGTGTCCAGTGTGCACCGCCTGCCACCCTCCAGTGTAGCAGGGAGAAGTATCAAAGAGGAGCTACGTGGCTAAGCAGAGCCAACAAGAACTTAAGTCAGCTTTCTCTTCTTCAGTTTGCAGCTGTGCCAGCTTGGAAAACCTCTGGTAATATGTTCCTGTTCTTTCTGCAGTAAACACAAGGTGAGGTGGACTAAAAATCTTTGACATCACCGAATGAGTAAGAACGTGATCTCACATGGTGTGGGGGTGAGGTGTGGAGATAATTCACTCTTCTTCTCCCACAGGTAACATTAGCAGGAACTGCACGTCAGCGGACTGGATGGAGGTTTTCCCAAACATCACCAGTGTGTCGGACACGAGGTACAAGGTACAGTCAAGGTCTGTCATCTCCTGTTTTCTGTCTGTTGTTCCTGTAAATGTTGGAGCTGTGTTGCACCTGAACACTAATGACTTCTGTGCAGAAGGACAAGAGCTGTCACATATCATGGGCCATTAGTGGCTTGTAATTGACAAAGCATGCAGGGCCGGATGTTAAGTGGATGTTTCAGTGGTGAAAAGGCTATATCTTTATGAGGTCAGTGTGGATGGTGCAGCAGTATGGTTTTTCACCTGTGTGGGTTCTCATGTGGATCAACAAGTGACCCCTGTGTGTGAAACAGTTCCCACATGTTTTACAAAAAACAATGTCTCCTCTGTGTGGGCTTTTAAATGAACATTCAAATCTGATTAATACTTAAATCCCTTGCCACAGGTGTTGCAAATATATAGTCTCACCTGTGTGGAATCTCATAGGGATCAACAAGGAACTGTGACATGTGAAGGTTTTCTCACATCTTACAAGAATACAGCTTCTGATTTGTTGTGTGGGTTCTTGAATGGCTGTTTAAGTCTGATGACGTCTTGAATCCCTTCCCACATGTGCTGCAAACATACGCTCTCTCACCTGTGTGGGTTCTTAAATGAGCAGTCAAACTTGATGACTGTGTGAATCCCTTCCCACAGGTGTTGCAAACATATGGTCTCTAGCCAGTGTGGCTTCTCATGTGGACCAACAAGTTCTTCCGTTGACTGTAAGAGTTCCCACATATTTTACAAGAAAATGGCTTCTCACCAGTGTGGGTTCTTGAATGGCTGCTTAGGTCTGATGACGCCTTGAATCCCTTCCCACAGGGACTGCAAACATACGGCCTCTCACCTGTGTGGGTTCTCATGTGGATCATCAAGTTCTGCCGTTGACTGTAAGAGTTTCCACATGTTTCACAAGAATAAGGCCTCTCACCAGTGTGGGTTCTCATGTGGATCAACAAGTTCTTCCGTTGACTGTAAGAGTGCCCACATGTTTCACAAGAATATGGCCTCTCACCAGTGTGGGTTCTTAAATGAACAGTCAAACTTGATAAGTGTGTGAATCGCTTCCCACAGGTGTTGCAAACATACGGTCTCTCACCGGTGTGGATTCTTAAGTGACTGTTTAAGTCTGATTGCGCCTTGAATCCTTTCCCACAGGTGTTGCAAACATATGGCCTCTCATCTGTGTGGCTTCTCATGTGGACCAAAAGGTCACTGTTATATCTGAAAATTTTCGTACATGTTTCACTGCAAACATACGGCCTCTCACCTGTGTGGGTTTTCATGTGGCTCAACAAGTTCTTCTGTTGAATGTAAGAGTTCCCACATGTTTCACAAGAATATGGTCTCTCACCTGTGTGGGTTCTCATGTGGATCAACAACTGATGTTGTTGACTGTAAGAGTTCCCACATATTTTACAAGAAAATGGCTTCTCGCCAGTGTGGGTTCTTGAATGGCTGTTTAAGTCTGATGACGCCTTGAATCCCTTCCCACAGGTACTGCAAACATACGGCCTCTCACCTGTGTGGGTTTTCATGTGGCTCAACAAGTTCTTCTGTTGAATGTAAGAGTTCCCACATGTTTCACAAGAATATGGCCTCTCACCAGTGTGGGTTCTTAAATGAACAATCAAATTTGATGACTGTGTGAATCGCTTCCCACAGGTGTTGCAAACATACGGTCTCTCACCGGTGTGGATTCTTAAGTGACTGTTTAAGTCTGATTGCGCCTTGAATCCTTTCCCACAGGTGTTGCAAACATATGGCCTCTCATCTGTGTGGCTTCTCATGTGGACCAAAAGGTCACTGTTATATCTGAAAATTTTCGTACATGTTTCACAACAATGCTGATTCTTCGTTGTGTGGCTTCTAAGACGTCTATTGAACTTGGACTTGCATCTAAACATTTTCTCACAAGTGTCACTCTTTAAAGACTTTCTATGTGTGGGAAAATCAGAGCCGGTCTCTGACAGGGGGGAGGTGTCCACAATGCTATTGTGACTTGTGTCTTTGTGGCGTCTCTTTGGCTTTGGCTCTGCATCACTAGCTGATCCTGAGCCTCCATGCTGGCTTCCTTCCTGACTCTGGCTCTCAGCTACAGCAGAGCTGTGAGAGAGGAGCTGCTGGTCACTGGTTGGTTCAGGTTCACTGTGGTCCCTTTCCTCACAAGTAGGAGTCAATATAAAGGGATTGGTCTCCTGCTTCAGTCCAAGCTGCTCTCCCTCCTGATTGCTGCAGAGTTCCTCCTGTTCCTCTTTAATCTGCGGAGGCTCTGGGTCCTCTTGGTCCAGACTGGAGTTCCTCTCCTGGTTCCAGAGCTGCTGGTCAGCCAGAACCTCCTCCTCCTTACAGACATGTTGCTGTGGCAGCTCTGGAGGGACAAAGGGAGGAACATGGGATGTGATAAAAAAAAAATTATGCTTCTTATTCACCAGCTTCTTATTTGAAATTTCCAGTCTGCCTTAAAGGTCTCATAAGTCTTGATGGGAGTATTATTCATCTTCAAGCTAGTTAAGTGGGCAGACTTTATCGCTCTATATACCATCGCTTAACTCCCAACTTGATGACCTGATTTTTTCATTTGCCTCTGTCATTACTACAGCCACGAGAACTCAACCTGAGTTTTGACAAACTTAAGTTTTTTTTTTTTTTTTTTTAGGTGAAAACGTATATGATATTATTGGATTACAATGACTGTGCATACGTGTTCTTCAGTTGTATCAAAGTAAAAATAAATTCACTGTAAAATAATTTATGTTCAATAATGATGTTTCCTAAATCAATGAGTAATCATGTTAAAACTCACCAATTGTGCTGATTTTCAGGTTTACGATACAATTTAAGGGTTCTAAGAGAAAACATTTAAATGTGTCTAAGCTCATTATTTTCCTCATAGCGTGTGGAGCTCCAGAACCTCTTTTCACCCCCGTTACAGATGCTCTGTTTTAGCTCCTGGCCCCCGTCTCTAAAAACCCAGTCTGCTCCGAGTGGTCAGCTCCCACAGTGCCGAGCAGGAACCGCCTACCAATTCCAAGTCATGTTTCTGGACATCACTAGTCTTTAGCAATAGCTCTGCTAACAGCTTTCACCAAAATAGCCGCTTCTAAACCAAAAACTAAACAACCACAGGTATTCAAGTGGGAGTCTGGTCCAAAATCAGGAAGAAATAACCAGTGCTGACCTTCAAGACTACAGCTGCCCTTGATGTTTTCCCCAGGTAAATGCTGCAATTTACACTCTATGCTGTTATATGACACTGTTAGTACTCATGCAGAAACCCTCAAAACTGTAAACACAATTTGTTTTATGTTTGCCCTGACAGGAACATCTGTGAGATCTGACCTGCAGAGCCCAGTGCAGCATTTGGTGTGAGAAGGTACTCAAGTAACATGTCAGCAGTAATGTTAGCATTCCCTGAAAACAGTAAGCCCTGTTTAGCAATCGTCTAATGATGGTATAAATCTAATTGTTAATTCACAGGTCATTCCTGTGGCCAACTGGCACTTCATTTAGCGATAAGGTCACCTCTCCATTATTTTCCAGTGCATATAACTCATCTTTGTTTTTACGTTCATTCTGATATGTTGCTTTTTTATATTCATTTGGATTAGGCACTTCGGATTAGGCAACTGTGACTTTACATAGGTGTGTGTGTGTGTGTGCGCGTCTCAAACTCCGGCACAGAAGGAAGCAGGGTGCCCATAAAAGAGACTCAGGATACGGTTTATTACATGACTATTTTGCTACAAACATCTACCGGCCAGTGTGGCAAGTAGACTTCTGAGTTTTACATGCCAAATGGAAAATCTACCTGCATTTCGTGCCTGGCGGATGTTAATTTCAGACTGTGAGTCTATGAATGTCCTTGAGTGGCCCAGGCAAGGCCCAGACTTAAACCCAATCAGATGTCTGTGGAGAAATCTGAAGACAGCAGTACATTGATGCTCGCCCTACAATCTGACAAACCATGAGAGGATCTGCCATGAAGAATGACAAACTGTTCAAATCCAGGTGTGCAAAGCTTGTACAGACGTATGAAAGATGAGCAGCTGCTACAAAGTACAAAATAAGGGTTGAATACTTTTGAGAGCAAAAGATATCCGCTTTTAATTACTGATTAATTTTCAGACAACTCTATGACCCTGGCTTACATTTGTCATCATTAAGTGTATAATGATGGGTAGAAATGGCGACTGTATCCATTCAAAATGGAATCCAGCATAAAATTCGCAAATTGACGGGTCGGTGCTTTCTGAATCCACTGTACAGTAAATGATTCACTTGAATTCCTCGTTAGACTTTAAAATGAAAGGTTCTTTAATCTATATATTAGCAGATTTTGCATCTACACATCGGTTACTGTACCATGTTCTGAAGGTAATTATACCAGAGGAAAAAAATATTACAATTTAAATTAAAAGCATTTCACCTAAAGTCAACAGTCAAATCCATGTTCCTTGTGTTTTATACGGAAGCTTTCAAATAAAAAGCCACGTCACAGAAAAACTGACATTTGAACAAGAAGCTAAATCATGCTGAATCACCGGTGTTTTAGTCTTTGTGTTAGTTTCATCAAGGTCTTTTGAGGTTTACAGACCGATTCTGTGAAGCTTTACTTCTGGTTTCCAAACGATATCCAGCAGTCTGCGCTGACGACCGATCTCTTCCTCGTACTCGACGACAACCTTTTCAAAGCCACTGAATATGTCTTCAGCAGCAGCAGTTAATCGCTCGGTAACAAACTCTCTCAAATACTGAACTGAAAACATTGCTGATTTGTCATAAACCAAATATATGTCTGCGATAACAAAACAACCGTTTTCAAATGCCAGCGCTGTGTCTACTTCCGCCAGGTGTCATACTGTGAAGTTCCGGCGTTTGGGGACGGTGATTCAGACTTTGTTCCGCTTCTGACATAAATAAGGCATTTTTGTAACGGCAATTCAAGGTGAAACTTTATTTTATTTTATTTTTCCTTAAGCCCAATTCGCTTAATGTTGGACATTTTCTTAATGCATTGTATTTAATTAGTCCATTTGTTTGGGTAGAGATTTTAAAACAGAAGAAAATGTCAGAGGGAGAGAGGCTGCATTTATGGTCCTTTTCCAGCAGAGGGAAACACTGGGACACAGGCACAGAGAGGCTTCATTGATCATGTGAGGCATGAGACATATTTATGCTCCTTGCACACAAGCCTGGTGCACTGGGAACACCAGCTGCTTACTTTTCTGTCTTTGGAAACTGGGCAGATCATGCACCTCTTCATCTTCCTTTGACCCTCCTATCTGGTGTCCTCTTGTGGCTGTGTTTTGTTTTTTACCCACATCTTCCCATTCCCTCAATAATATGCTTTTGGAGTTGGCCACATCCCAGCTCAACAGGAACAAAGTGAGTTTCTCAGCGTTGTCAGGATTGTAGTAATGTCAATGGACCAGCGAGAGACTGAGGGGGGAAAAGGCGGTATATATGTGCTGCAGACCAGGAGAAAATGAGGAACAGGTCAAAACATTAAACGGTGATTGAGTACTGAGGTAAAGCTAGCGCAGGTAAGGTGGCACAGGGCAGGAAGTAAACCAAAATAAAAGCTCTCAGAACCAGAAAACACGCAAAACCATAATCGTGTCATCTTCTTCAGATAGTGCACTTTCATACACAATGAGGATGCAGTGGTTACAGGGACCAGAACCTACCAGTTTACATGTGGATGTGTCAGTTGTGTTCACAGGCTTCACTTTGCTGTTGTCTTGCATCAGCCTGTTCAGCCACCCGCCTCAGTTTAGTGTTGGTGTGATTTGTGTGTCGAACCCCATCTGTTCTGTTTTCAATGTATTTACACCCTGTCCTGTTTTGATACATCTGTACTGTCCTTCACTTTGCTGCCACTGTGGCCCAGTCCCCCCCCCATTAAGCTTTCAAATAATCAATATACTGACAGCTCGCCTGTGCACCTCAGGCTTTTCAAAACACTGATTCAAACCATCACCTCCACCCTACTGCTGTTCTCCACTCAGGTCCAAACGCTTGCCGGTGACAAGTTGTTGCATAGCAACTGCCTGCTCAGCACCAGCAGTGCTGCTGCTGCTCAGCTGGCGAGCCTCAAACATGTCATTATGTGGGTGGTTGCCCACATGGGTCAATGTCAGTCAACAGCAGAGAGGGCCCTTATTCTTCTGCTCTGACCACCTCCTGTGCACTGATGATGAGGGTGCACACACATGCTCCAACTGCAGAGATATGTGGACAGTGAACTACAATAATAATAAACCTAAGAATAATAATAACTACTCACCATGTGCATTAGACTACAGTGCATTAGTTCTCATGCAGCATCAAAGCAGCTGTTAACTGTAACAAATAGAGGAAATAAACAAAAAGGACTAAAGTGTCAAGGCTGCAGTGTTGATTTCACAGATTGTAAATGAACAGTGACCAGTAGTGACTAGAAGGTCTGTAGCTGTTTAGCTCTGTTGAGCTCTGGAATAAGGTCTCAAACACACAAACTTATAGAAGTCAAAGTGCTTGAACTGGGCTGATACTGTATGTACAACAGTACAGATGACTGGGATGTTCACAGAGTGCAGGCACCACGGAAGTGCCTGAAAAAGTGGGTTAGAAACAATATTAGAACAAAGACAAATGACAATAAACCATGACAATATATAAAATGGTACAATAAGGCATTAACAACACCAATAATTGATGTAAATGCTAAAGGTGAACATTGGACCCACTGCCATCAGAATACTTAATGCACTGTAACCCCTCCCATTACAAATAATCAGGCATACATACACTTTCACTTGAACTATTACAATGTGCAATATATACTTGTATTACTCACTAATATTTATTATGTAGGGTACTGTTTTTATTCATTTTTAGTGTAACAACATATTTCTCTACTTATTTTCAACATAGTTTTTAGGTGTTGAAGTTGTGGAAGGCAATGCTTCGTAACTTCATTCTGCTGTCTGCCTGTCTGGTGAATAGCTTGAATCTCAATAACATTATTCTTGAACATTTAACCCCAAATTAAAGATAGTTGTTTATTTAAAAAAATAAAAAGGAGCTTAAGTCATAAAAACACTATTAATCAATGATTTCTACAACTTTTGTTTTATACGGAAAGAGTCTATTTTATTCCTGCTCTAGTACATTTGTTAAAATATGCTTATATTATTAGTGGAGTAAAAGTAAAAGTAACAGAAAATGGAAATATTTCAGTAAAGTACAAGTACCTCAAAAATGTACTTAGGTACA